TACACCGAGAGATAGTCGCTCAATCATTGTGTTGTGTGATAATGTCTCTCTTTTTCTCAGACACTTTCTCCCAGCTGTTTGTCTTTTTAAGTATGACACATCTGGATGTGAAAGTGTCAGTGCTGATTTACACGTTATTCCCACGTGCTTCAACAGGGGATAAGCGGTCACTTGTTATGGAATGAGAGTACAGCACAAAGAGATACTGGTAAACGTGTTGACCCTTGCTATGGGAGGCCAAACTATTCCAGAGCCTGGAGAAGATACACACGAGCTACCCAGCTGCTTTGCTCTGTACAATCAGGGCGTTCAGACTGGGCAGATAGGACAGAGCTTCACTCACCTAGTGTGTGCTTTGGTCCCTACAAATGTGAAATAATTGTGGAGATTCTTAAACAATTTCATTTTTTTTTAAATCGATATTTTCAGAGATGATCATGAGCGGTGACAAGAAATGACATTTGTCAAATGTTTATTGTAATACGGATTCAAAATCAGTTATTTAAAATATTTCTACAGCTCATGTGCATGATAATATGTGACAATTAATCCATTTTGGAATAAAATGAAAATAAAAGGTAAATAAATAGAATAAAACAACGTCTATTCTATTACATTAACATAGACGTGAAGGGATATGACATTAAACCAAAAACTGTTTAAAATGTAAAATGCATGTTAGTCTGACCTTTGAGAAAACATCTTTATACCGTCTGACACAACAAAAAAATAATTGTCTCAGACAGTTCTGTCCAGCAGCACCAGCAGCCCGAATGGATGGTACTGAAGCTGAACCCAGATCAGCTGTTCACTTTGACTGCAGTGAGCAGGTCAGCTGGAGACATGGTGTTGATCTTAAATTGTTTGTGTTTCGCTACATCACAGGGTTACACCCATAGTTGGTAAATGTCTGCCACGCTCCTGTTACATTCAAAAGGTGAGAATTAAAAACAAAGAGAGGCTTCTGGTCTGCAGTCCTGTTATAATCACCTGATTCACCACCGCCATGTGGCCTGCTTCTCTTCTCCTACCACTTTAAATAATTTACTATAATGAGCCTACTCCAGGCTTTAAACAAGCCCAGCTCAATACTTGACAGACACCTGAAGAACACAGCAGACTGCTCACACAATGCATGGCTAACAACCGTTCCTGAAGTACCCATATCTGTTTAGATGGACCTACAGTAGATCTGTGCTTTAGATACAAATAAAAACAGGGCATTACAGCTAAGAGTCCTAAATAACACTAATATAAACTCCAGTCTTAGGTGAACCAACATCTCTTACTACAATCCGATGCAAAGTAGTCCAGAACCGGGCCAGGTTCTGAGCAATAAACAGGATTCATATTTATTTTTTAAACAAAAATAAAAAAGGCCAGTGATATTTTGCTGATGGCAACAACGCCCTGCACAGCAGAAGCTAAATGATGAGCATAAGGTAATAGCTGACGAGTACAAGCCTGACTCTGCAATTTTCATCTTTATACTTTCACTGTCCAAGAACATACCAGACTTCTCACTCCAACTCAAAGGGAGCAGTCATATTAAGCCACATCCACGCCTATTAGTAACACTGCTGATTACAGTATAATCTACACCCTCACCCCCCATCCAACGCTGACTGAAGAGGCGCTCGCATGTGTGGAATGTCAGTATGTGTGGAAGGTGCACGCCTGAGCTGACTGTCCCAAGCGTGCAATTATCATAACGCAGCAGGGATATTTTATTCTACCTTGATGCATAGTTACAAGAGAAGAACATACAAAAACAATAATTTCATTACGACGTGCCTGTTGTAATAACAGTGCCTGTGCACTTCATGACAAACGACCCCGACAAAGCCCCAGGTGAGGTTAGATTCTTGCTTTCTCATTCGCTTCCCTCCATGTCAACATAGTAGTTTCAATCATGAATAGTTTGATTCAACAAAAATGATATAATGCGGTGAGGAGGATAGGAAGCAAAGTGCTTACAGCCCGAGGGTGTGACAGAAGCATGTGTTCTAAACGGGCACTTTGATTTACACCCTCAGCAGAGCTCCATTATAGATACTCTATAAAAAGAAGAACGTGTTGTTACTATGGGCGAAAACAAACAGATAACGACAGACAGCACCTCCCAGCCAAGCTATGCAGGTATGTAGTGAAAGGGTGAGAGATGTGCTTTTTTTATGTATTGAGGTTTCTCTGCATTTAGCATCGGATTCTTTTATATCTGCATATGGAGTGAGGGGGTTTTTATACGTTTTTATTTTTGAAAGCCGTGTGAGGGGGGCAATATCTTTTTAATAAACTCATTATTTCAAACACCAATGTCGTGAATTGAGAAAAACAAAAAAATATACAGTATATTTTATGAAATCAAATAGAAAGATCACGAGAAAATAAATATTATATATTTTGACAAAGTTATACATTTGGTCGGGGGCAAAAAAGGAATTTTCAGATTAAAGTTATACATTTACAAGAAATAAAATGGGAATTATATGTTTTTTTTGCCAAGCAACCACATTGTTTTACTTTGCAAGGTTGGGATCGACCTCAAAACCCCAGACGCTGCTTGTAGAAGTGAGGAACATACTTCTGACAATCTCTCCATTGCGTTTTAGTTTTTCATACACAAACACCTCCTCCCATTCACTATGTTGTTCTCATCAGAATAGACACAAACATGCCAAAATCTTTTCAAAGTCTGGATTTTAGGGGATTTATACACTAAAAGTATTTATTTGTTGAAAAAAACAATTGCAGACTATACATTGATTAGGTCTTCCACTGAAGGCATAATAAGAGGCAGCGTTTGTCTGTGATGACATTGAGTTGAGCAATTTGGTTTCTTGACAAAAAAATGTTTGGCGAGGGGCTTCCATCTCAGAGATTTTCCTCCGAATATCATTATGTGTTTTTGCTTATAGTCAGAACACTGAACTGTGGCTGCCACGAGCTAATGGAAGACAGGTCACTGTAGTGCGATGCAGCTGAGGGGTGTAACAACGATAACTATAAAGACTCTTGCATTCTGCACTGCGGGGGAAGCAAACAATTGTTACTGCAGTCATTGTTACTTTGTTCACGCAGGATAACTGCCACTTATCAGGAAGAAGGAGAAAAAAATGATGTACTAAAACTATAAAACTGTCATTCAAAACCCTGCCAGACCTTTTCAAGGCAGCTTCTGATAACAATCTTTAAAAAAGGCATTCACTATCTTGAATTGCATTCTGAAGAATGTAAGACCACTTTGGCTATTTACACTCATATACAAATAGATTCCCTTTACATTGATATTAAAATGCTTAGTGAAGCAGTAGAAGCCTCTCTAGGTTTACAACTCCTTACCACTATAAAACATCTGAATTGATGCCCTGTTGAAAATAAATATAGAGCCTCAAAGAGAATAACAGTATAACAAGGCAGGCAATGTATTGACTGTAACATTCCAGGTGTTTGGGTTCCAGCAGCACTGACTTATTTGATCTGGCTCTTTCAGTTTGATGGATAAAGTGAATAAACTTGATTAAAATAAACGAGACATGCTCATAAAGAAGTAATGATGACAAGAAAAAACATGTTATGCCTGCATTCTTTGTTTTGCCATATCTACTTTTATGTTACTTTCTTCAATTGTAAAAACATTTATGCTTTTTGAATCTTGACAGTTGCAGTTGGAAGTGTACCAGTCAAGATGTCCGATCAATGCTCGCTCCTTTCATCTCACACTCATTCTTTTCCACTGAGTAGTCACTAGGGATTTTAGAGGCAATCGCTTCTCTGTACGTTACTAACAAGACTAGACAACGGAATCAAACAGAGCAGATTGTCCAAACTTTTGGATAATCTCACAAAAGTAAAAAACAATGTATGTTCCCCACAGTTCCACAGATTGATTATCATTTGTGGTCAAATTGTTGGATGGATAAAATAATTTTCACATAAGAACTAAGAATGTGATCCATGTTCCTTCTCTTTTTTGACACTAACACCAGTTGCCATGTTGTCACACAGTCATGTCTTATCTTTTGAAATACAATGATTGACCCCACAGCCTTGCTGTGTTTGCAATCAAACCGAGTGGTAGAAACATTGTGTGAAGTTCATTATTTTAGCTTTATTACTAAACTGTCTTTTCATGTTGACGACGGAAAAACTGGCATGGCCCCTTAATTTCCCAGGGGTCCCTTAACTTCCCGCTGAAGATATCTGAACAAAAACACTTGAATCTTCCTTTTACAAACAAGTTAAAATGTTTACATTTGGAACCAAATCTGTGTAACAAAAAGGTATTCATCTAAAAATAACTTCAACAATTTATCAGCCATAACAGCGCATGGGAACAAAATACTACTCTCATAATGTGCTGAGGCATTCTTAATTTTTTCATTAAATAATAATATATGTTTTTATTAACACTGAGCTGTATCATTAATCTTCAGGTTTCCAATGATTTGCAAAACTCATATACTGTTGACTTCTTCTCTACCCCTGACCATCCCCTGTCCCCCACCCCTACCTCTCGAAAAGAAGTGTAGGGAATGGTAAGAGGTTAAGTTACATTCAATTAGATTTTGCCCTATAAACAATAAATGTTCCCAAAATTGTTAGGATTACATGTTCACATGTTGGTATAAACTATCTATCCCCACAGTTACCCTGTTTAGGAGCGGTTTGAATGACATTTTAAATCACAACAACACAAATCAGATTATACCCAATTCTTCAAGGTCTCCATGAGAATAGTATTGCAATAAAACTGTAGAATTGTATAAAGTGCTTATAAGCATCATTTAGTAACACATGTGTTGTAATGACGGGCTACCTTTTAGAAAAATGATGGAAAGCCATTCCTAATATTCTATTCACTTGAGAAACCTAAACCCTGGAAGATGGGTTTGTGCAGGAAGACCAACTGGTACATCAGCGTGTATTTTGATGAGAGAGATGCTTGTTGAGATGTTCCCTAGTTGACTGTTTCCATGTGGAGTGTTGGGCCTACTCACTCTCTCTCCTTCTCAGTGAGCCGGTCAGTGATGGTGTCCTTGATGGAGGAGCGTGAACCCTTGTGGATCACCGGGTACCGGAGAGGTATCTGCAGGAAGCACGAGATCATGAGCACCAGGTGCGACGTGTAACCCAGGGCGACCGCCACGCTCCCATCATCCTTTGCTGCAGGACACAGTAAAAAATAAATGAAATTAAATCACACATTAGATAACATTAAGCAGAAATGTTGTTCTTATTATTCCACCAACACAACAAAGCCTCTAAGCCTACAGAATAACATAATGCAAATTCAATTCCAAACAGAAGCATCTTAAATCATCCAAAAGTCAGTATTTTATGACAACTTCAAATCACACAGTCAGCAATGTATGTTTTGTATAGACTTTCACTTTCATTACATGGAAAACTAAACTGTGTTTACATATACCATGTCCACATCTTGGGAACACAAACTAAAATAAATACAGTTCCAACCAAAGATAGTTTGGTATCCACAGGAAAGAGAGCAGCTGCATTCATGTGGGATGCTGTTTTGAAAGTGATACAGAATTTGGCAGAACTTACAAAGTCCCAAAAAACGTTGGTTGCAGTGGGATCCCCAATTTTGTTCAGATATGTGCTTGAGAAGCAAAAGCATCTCCCCTCTGTGCCCGCCGGAAACTTTAGGGTGGAAACTGTATGCCTCTGTGAACATTTCTGACAGAGAAGCATCTTGCTTCAAGTACGAGGAATGGTTTCAAGACAACACACTAAGTGGTTTCACATTCTCAAACAACAGCAGGACATTGCTTGAGGCAAATATTTAAAATAACCTGTTTTTTTATCTTAATGCGTGGAAATAATAGACTATGGCAATTGTGCGTAGTATGTTCCTTGGCTCATGCTGTGTCTTCTGAAACAGAAAGCTTACATAGGCCTGGGCGCAATGACAAAAAACTCCTATCATGGTATTTTTCCATATGATAACGGTATCACGGTATATCACAGTATTTATTCATTTTTCAATGATTGGAAATGTATTTACATTTATACGTTTTTCCTATCACAGGCGGTCCCTCGAACAAAAGCGTCTTCTAGCGATGCTTGACTCGACTTTAGACGTTTCACCAGCGTTGCTTATTGAAGCTGATCGTATTTTCATACATTCTTCATAAGTGCTTTCTGTTGAGGTGGTGGAGTATATGACTTGTGTTACCTCCTTGGGCAACAATTTTAGTTCAACAACATTTACAATTAATGTTTGTTTGGTCCATTTTAGATTTTTTTAATCCAAAAAAACTCATAACGACAGACACAACTCGTCTCCTCGGCACAAGTTCTTCTTGTGTGTCGAATGTATCTCCATCTCCAGTCTCATTGTCTTCAGTGTCTATCTTAACATTCTGCTTCACATGTTATGCTACTGCTACTAAGCTTGGCACTCTGCCTCAGCATGCATTTCAGTGGTGCAGCAGTGAAAGGAGTCTCCTGCACAGCTCAAGCGCCATTCACCACTTTTTCAACGGTATTGCGGTAAATGAAAAATGAATATCAAACGGTATAAAGTTCACAGTATTCGGTCTGAAATGGTATACCGCCAAGCACTATGTTGTACCATTGTTCTTCCTGTATTTGATCAATTCCATAGCTCCAAAAGCACCTGGAGTAAACAGCTTCATGATCTCTGTTACCACACTAACAGGAATAACTAAAGGACACCTTAGGGTGCAAGTGGAGACAGCTCCTATCTTGTCAGGCTGAGCTGACAAAGAGAGCCTAAAACACTGAAGGGCTCAGCAGAGTGCCACTCTGTTCCACAGCAGGATTAGGACTCCCCTAACCCTGACCCTGGCCTCTAATGGGGAACATCCTCCCCTGCAGGCCTGTTTGACCTCCACACCATCGGACAGCTCTGGACTTGATCTTGCTTTCTCCAGGCAGACCTCACACAAACAGAGCAGGGGTGAACGACGGTGTGCAATGGAAGTATGGGCTTAGATATGTCTCATAATTATTTGTGTGAACATCAAAATAATTTGTGTGTAAATATGTGATTTGTAAATGTAAAACACCATCCACAAATGTATTTAAAAGATTTGCAAACTCACAAATAAATTTGCAAATACAAAACGGATCTGCAAATACGCAAAATATTTTTACAAATAAAAAAAGATCTTTGAATATCTCTTTAACATTTACAACTTTCGATCAGGCATTTGTGAATCCATTTTGTATTTGTCGACCAAAAATGCGCTTGTGGATCTCAAATCTCTGCTCGTGGATCGTCTTTTTACACACACAGAGTTTTGAGACAAACACATGGAGTTTTGAGACAAACACAAGGCCTAGTTTTACCTTACCACTGCACTGGTAAGGTAAAACTAGGCCGATACAAATGTGAAGTGCTTTGTAACTTTGACCCACTTGACTGAATACACAAAAAACAATGAAGAAAGTTGAACCAATAAACTAATACAAACTAACTGTATCACTTTAACATGATGATGATGGTGATAAAGAATGCATCTAACGTTCCGCTGTTCATTATAATAAAAAAACAGAGCATTAAAAATAAACCATGATGCTCTTACTTTGAAAACCATGCGGAAATGTCGTCATCAGCAGGCCATCACGTGGTTTCCGAAAATAACCGAGTGACACGAGTAGATTTTAGCCGAGACCGGCGGAAAGGTTGTCTCAAAACTCTGTGTGTAAAAAGACGATCCACGAGCAGAGATTTGAGATCCACGAGCGCATTTTTGGTCGACAAATACAAAATGGTTTCACAAATGCCTGATCGAAAGTTGTAAATGTTAAAGAGATAATCACAGATATTTTTTTATTTGTAAAAATATTTAGCGTATTTGCAGATCCGTTTTACATTTGTAAATTTATTTGTGAGTTTGTAAATCTTTTAAATGCATTTGTGGATGGTGTTTTACATTTACAAATCACATATTTACACACAAATTATTTTTATGTTCACACAAATAATTATGAGACAAATCTATGCCCATATGGAAGGGACGCCTACTTTAGGATCTTTTGGCGGCACATGAACGATTGTTGACATTGAGCTAGATCTAATACATTCCTATTATCACTTTTGTTATTTGGATTGTTTATGTTGTAAATGTGTTATTCCTTTAAACTTGTCTGCAATTGTACTGTGCAATAGTCACTTTTATTTAAAAGCATATCTTTTTATAAATGTCCCAACATTTCATTCTCAATACTTTAATATGTTATTTATGTCACTTTTAAATTGCTGCTACTAATTTTTTAGCCATGGTTGTATACTTATTTGTCTTTCTTTTTTATTTAATTAATAATGTATGCTTTTCTTATTTTTGTTTCTTATTGCTTGCCTTTTTTACCTGCAATGTCACTTTTGCTTTAACAAAAGTACAATTACATTCTGACTGTCCATCCTGGGGAAGAGCTGCCTCCTCCTTGCTCACCCCAAGGTTTTATTCCATTTTTTCCCTCTTAATTATGGGGTTTTTGGGGGGTTTCTTTCCATGTACGTTTTCAAGGATCTAAGGTTCTTAATGTCTTTCGTTTTTTGTAAAGCACTAAGAATTGCCTTGTGTTGAAAGGTGCTATATAAATAAACTTGCCTTGCCTAAGGTTAGATGGTGTTGTATGCTGCACACACTATAAAGCCTCCTGAGACAAATGTGTAATTTGTGATATTGGGCTATATAAATAAAATGTGAATGATTGATGGTAACATGCATGCTTTCATAGTCTCTTTCTCAGTGCATGTTGTACTGCCTTTTGCAGGAAGTCTAATGGACACAGAGGTTATGTTAGATGATGAATATTAATGTCTACACTGAAAAATCTCAAGCGTGGACTTGAATTAAGTCTATATGTCAACAGATTTCACATATGTATTAGGTTAGTTGAAAGCAATAATATTAAGTTTAAATACAAAATATTAGGTTCAACTTAATATTATTGCCTTCAACTAACCCAGGGGTCGGCAACCCGCGGCTCTCGAGCAGCATGCGGCTCTTTAAGCCCTCTGCTCTGGCTCCCTTGAGTTTAGACATAAATAAGAAGGAAATCAAATAAAAGTATGTATAGGACTATTTATGTGTGCAACTCGATTTTGACAGGATAACAACTGGTGACTTCTAGAATTGTGTGAGTAACATTCTGTCTTTAGACGTCTCTGTTTCAGTGTGTGTACTCTGTATAAATGCTCTGTAGTTGATCTGACTGAAATTGTGATTTCAAAACTCAAAACCGCTACAGTATCTGTCAGGCAGAAACTTGGGACAAGTAATTTGACTGAAACCTTAAAACTGAACTAACTGACTGCTAGGGTTAACTTTGATTTAAACATTTGTAGAATACTAAGAGCTTTATTGAGTTGGTGTAACTGTATTAAGGGTTAAACTCATAACTTTATAACTTAGGGTTTAATGTAATTGTAAAACCATTGGGCCACTGAAAAGACACAATAGCAACTCAGGAGGGAGCCAGTCTCGATTGAGGCCCATCAGCTCTGATCTGCGGGCACTTCCCCCCCAGAAACTGTATTTAAATCTCATCCTAATCACTGACCTGCCAGTGTGCAACTCGATTTTGACAGGATGACAACTGGTGACTTCTAGAATTGTGTGAGTAACATTCTGTCTTTAGACTTCTCTGTTTCAGTGTGTGTACTCTGTATAAATGCTCTGTAGTTGATCTGACTGAAATTGTGATTTTAAATCTCAAAACCGCTACAGTATCCAATCTTCCTATTCCAATCCCAAAAAACTATTTTCCATCTTCTCCTCCCTCCTGGACCCCTCCAAAGCCCCTTCCCCCTCCTCCCTTCTGTCAAGCGACTTTGTTAACCACTTTGAAAAAAAGGTTGATGATATTCGCTCTTCTTTTTCTGACTCACCTATACTCACCGCTGGGTCACCAGACCCTCCTTTCACCCACACACTGACCTCCTTTTCCCCTCTCTCTCCAAGTGAGGTTCTTACCCTCATTACCTCTGCCCGCCCTACCACCTGTACTCTGGACCCTATCCCTTCAAACCTCCTTCAGACTATCGCTCCTGATATTCTACCGTTTCTCACCCATTTCATCAACACTTCTCTAACTTCTGGTCACTTTCCAAACAGTCTCAAGGAGGCAAGAGTAAACCCTCTCCTAAAGAAACCCACTCTCAACCCGTCTGATGTTATAAACTACAGGCCTGTCTCTCTCCTCCCGTTCCTGTCTAAAACACTTGAACGCGCTGTCTTTAAACAACTCTCCTGTTATCTCCATCAGAACAACCTTCTGGATCCGCACCAGTCTGGTTTCAAGGCAGGTCACTCAACAGAAACTGCTCTCATTGCTGTAACGGAGGAACTGCACACTGCTAAAGCAGCCTCCCTCTCCTCTGTCATCATCCTTTTGGACCTGTCTGCTGCATTCGACACGGTGAATCATCAGATCCTCCTTCGCACTCTCCAATAACTTGGAGTTTCAGGCTCTGCACTTTCCCTCATCACCTCATACCTCAAAGAACGCACCTACAGGGTGACTTGGAGAGGGTCGAGTCCGACCCTTGTCAATTAACTACAGGGGTCCCTCAGGGCTCTGTTCTTGGTCCCCTCCTCTTCTCCTTGTACACAAACTCGCTCGGATCTGTCATTAGCCCGCATGGTTTTTCATACCACTGCTACGCTGACGACACCCAATTCATTCTGTCCTTTCCCCGCTCAGAGACCCAGGTCATCGCACACATCTCTGCTTGTCTAGCTGACATCTCTCAGTGGATGTCTGCTCATCACCTCAAGCTCAACCTTGACAAGACTGAACTGCTTTTCCTTCCGGGAAAAGATTGTCCCACTCTTGACCTAACAATCAACATCGGCACCTCTATTGTTTCCGCGACTCAGACTGCAAGGAATCTGGGTGTGACCCTAGATAACAACCTGTCCTTCACTGCAAACATCGCTGCTACAACCCGCTGCTGCAGATACACGCTTTACAACATCAGGAAGATACGTCCCCAGCTGACACAGAAAGCGACGCAGGTTCTGGTCCAGGCTCTCGTCATCTCACGCCTAGACTACTGCAACTCCCTCCTGGCTGGTCGACCTGCATGTGCCATCCGACCTCTGCAGCTCATCCAGAATGCAGCGGCTCGTCTGGTCTTCAACCTTCCTAAATTCTCCCACACCACGCCGCTCTTCCGCTCCCTTCACTGGCTTCCGGTAACTGCTAGAATCCACTTCAAGACAATGGTACTTGCGTACCATGCTGCGAATGGATCTGGCCCTTCCTACATCCAGGACATGGTTAAACCGTACACCCCAGCACGTGCACTCCGCTCTGCATCAACCAAACGGCTCGCTGCACCCTCACTGCGAGGGGGACCCAAGTTCCCATCAGCAAAAACACGTGGGTTTGCTGTCCTGGCTCCAAAATGGTGGAATGAGCTCCCCATTGAAATCAGGACAGCAGAAAGCTTACACACCTTCCGGCGCAGACTGAAAACTCATCTCTTTCGACTCCACTTCGAGCGATAGAACTATTAATAAAGCACTTATATACTAATAAAGGACTGGCTTACCTAAAGCCAGTTGAGTAGCACTTGAAATGTTTTTGCTCTATGAAACCTGATGTACTTATATGATTCTGTTTTCTTCAAGTTTGTATTTTGTTGGTCGAACGCACTTATTGTAAGTCGCTTTGGATAAAAGCGTCAGCTAAATGTAATGTAATGTAATTTATATTTTCTTGCATGGTTGAAAATGTTTCGTATCTTGTATTTTAAGGTGATACTGTGACACATAAATAAAAAAACTAAACGGTTTTAATTAGGTCAACTAAAATATGCGTCACATCCTGCTACGGTCCCGCACCAGCGCCTTTTCCTGCAGGCGAATAACCTGACCCCCGGCTCGATGAGCGAATTATGGATACATCAAAGAAAATAAAAGTATTGGAGGAACACAGAATTTAATTATGCGTGGACAGAGTTATATGCTTTCACAGCAAACGATGCTGGTTTACCGGTATGTTTGATATGTAGAGAGAAGTTGTCAAAGGTGCTGCAACCTTTACGTATCGAGGAATAACACGGGAGAGGAAGACAGCTGACGATCTTCAGTCATAATTCAATGGGGTATGTCATTTATTTCAGAAAACACTTTTTGTTATATTCCATGGAATGCTCTTAACGTCCCGATAGCAATGAATATATTAAATGCTTTGACAATAAATACATACAAAAATGTCATCTGTGGAAGCCGTAGGACTGTAAAAAGCACGACCAATCATCTGAGCCGGCCCGGCTAAAGTAACTGGATGGCCTACCTGCCTGTCAGCCTTCCATCTGTACACAAACTTATCTCGTGCCCTCATTGGTCATGTGCGCGTTTGTGTGTGTTGGAGGAGGGACTCTGTAAGGAAGTCTGAAGGAAGAGGCAGCTTTTTTCCAGTTGTGTATTTTCAAATTCTAGCGCACTCGAGCTGGTTTCTCCAAAATGACCAACCCTACCTTTAACTCTTTTTAGGGTGCAGCTATATGTTTTATCTATTTCAAAGTGGGCCCATTTGAATTATATTTTTTTTCCTAATGTGCAGAGGACTCCCCAAGTGCTGTGTTTAATTTATTTTAAAGTAGGCCTGTGTATTATTTTTAATTCTCCTTATAGGAGTTCTTTGTTTCTTATTAGAGGTTAACAGTTTTATAATGCAATAAATAATAAATGCAACAAAACTGTAGTTTTTGTCTATGATATAACAATAAATACAACTTTATAAGCTATCAAGCTATGAAATATGTTTTGCGGCTCCAGACAAACATTTTTTTTGGAAAAGGGAGCAAAATGGCTCTTTTGGTCAAAAAGGTTGCTGACCCCTGAACTAACCGAATACAGTTATGTGAGATTTGTTGACATAATGTTTTTAATTAAAGTCAAGGTTTCAGTTTTTTAAGTGTACCTGGATGGCATGACAGCTCTTCTCTAAACTTCACAAACCACAAGCCACCTGACCAGGAGGGGGAAGGTAGTTAAATGTTTTAGGGACTCGTTCTGTGTTATCTTCTGCCACAGCACATGCTCGGTCGTTTACTCACTGCTACTGTAGGTGTCCACCTCTGCAACACTGGGAGGCAGAAGCACACACAGGCCTCCACCTTATGGGAACAAGTGATAGCTGCGAACACAAATAGGCTGGCTGTGACCACTGTGCTCTAAAAGAAGCTAACAGGTGGAGTGTGACAGCGGGGAGCGGGGAGATTGGGAGTATTTGTGAGTTATGGGTTCAGAGACGTGCTCGGCCACACCAGCTGTGAGGTTGGAGAGCTGGAGAATGTGGAGTGGACAGTGGCGAGTGTGTTCTCAGTGTAGGACAAGTGCTGCGGGCCAGAGCAAATAATTCATAACCCCCCCCTCCTCCAATTCATCTGAGCTATAGAGGGGTCATGAAGTCATCAAGTTCCGTCGCTGTCACAGCAATCCCCATTCATCACCACACAGAGGGCGACCCTAACCCTGACCTACCACACCCACATGATAATAAGGGCTTTCTGGCAGAATCTGCCTACTGACAAAAATGTGTTTTTGATAGTTCTGATGCTTTATATTGTGTATTTGATATTAAACCATGCAGTTATAGAGAGGTGCAGTGATTGCGTATTTCCAGAAGTTAGCATCGCAAAGGCTCCCTCAACGAAAAAGCAATGGGAGTTTGGAATACTGCAAAAGATCTGTTGCAAACAAGTGTGAATAATGACATGCTTTGTTCAGCAGGATAATCTCCACATATAAACACCTGTTTGCATTTATGCTTCAAAACTCAAACAATCACCAGAAGTAAAAAGCTAACATTAAGCTTTAAACTTACTAGTTTATAGTTCCTTATACTAGTCTCAGTTAGCCACTTGTTAACTAACCTTTGTGTTATGACACAAAAAAGCTTCAGACATTCACCAGTAGGTTATTTACCGCACATCTCATGTCTTAGAACAAAACGTGAAAAACTCTTCAGCTTGTGTTAGCCAGAAATCTTATTTTAGGCATATAACCAAAACACATTCAAAAGACTGTTGACTTTGAGACGAGGAAAACACATGTTGTAAAACTCATTTCTGGGTTTTAGGACTCATTCTTGCACCACTCTATTGTAGCTGTGTCACATTGGTGGGCTGGAACCAGTCTTGTGACAACACTTTTTAAGATTGTGGTAGACAGAAAAGTTCCTCCATATACAGCCAACAACAGATCAGAAAGGCTAAGTGTTTAGAGAAACAGAAGAATGCAAACCAAGTCCAACATGCCTGGCTCCAAAGACTTTTGTTAAATATTAAAAAGTCAAGAGAGGAGAAAGAAGAAGAAAAATACATACAAAGATGCTTGATGAGAACACACCTAGGAAGGTGTTTGCGTACGTGCCGTTTCGAGGGAGTGTGATACTCACACAGTATCTGAGGCAACAAGTGTTGTTGTGTGTATCTACATTTTATTATATAGAACTAGACCGAGTTAATAAGAATGTCAACTTTTCCCAGCTAGTAAAACTATTGATGACACAATTATATCATTATGTCTTTTGTGCATTTAAATGACATACCGGTAATTATAAAATTATGTCATTTATGCACGTTAAAGACTGTTATACCCCCTGCCAAATTGCCATGTACAGTAGCCAAAGGTATGATATCATAGATACTGTATGTATGAGATCATCGGTCTTCAAATTGGTTTCTATTCACCAAACATTTACATAACCACAAGCGTTTGTTTTGCATGCTTCACCACAGACTACCCTCCTGTAACCCAGACACTCACAAGCGGGCACGTAATACAATTACCTTGAAAGTCTTCAGAGTTCGGCAGCTTCACTTCGCAGATGACATAATCTGACTGATTGGCCTGTGGATTTAAATAGGAGGTTTCATATTAAAGACAATGATCAGACACAGAAAGCAGACAGGATGAAACCTGGAACACCAGCTTTGGCAGAGGCACTGATTTTAAATTATTCCATCATTGTGTGTCGTGTCATGCAAAATAATAGCCTTAATATGGCATTTAGCCCATCATTATATTCGATTTGTCTTTAATCAAAATGTACCTATCTGACAGTTAGAGATTCTATCTGTTCAAGTCAATACATGTGTTAGTGTAACGGAGGGCTCCTACGCTGACGTTAGTCCCTCTAAATTGATCATGTTGTTGACAGTGCTAGAGTCTGGCAGCAAATGTCGCTCCACAAAAAAAAAAAAAAGAAGAAGGTTCCATAGCTTTAGCACAAACTAAAGCAAAAGTTGAGACAACTTGAAAGGAGTTCCACTAATCTGGAAGAATCTCATTTATTTTGGCTGGATAATCTTAACAAACAAAAGAATGCTCTGGTACTGCCAGAGCAGCCTATTATTCATCATTAATCGAAGAGAATAAGAGCAATGCCAGGCTCATGTTTAACAGAGCGCTCTATAGAGCCTTCTTTCCACATATCGTTCAGCAGTTATGACTTCATGAGCTTTTCTCGATGATCAAATTATAGCTACTTGTAACCCTGTTACTTTTCCTGTGTAATGTTTGACATTTGGTTCATTCATTTCATACTTAGTTTGAGAGAAAAAAATAGAAAAGATATACTAAAAAGGACTGTCATATTTATCAGAGAGGCCCGTGAAACAGAAAGGCAATGCCTCTGAATTATCTCCTAAAACACTGCAGTAGAAATAACACTCACAGCATTCCTTTGAACTGTTGTGAACGCAACACAGTATCTGCACCCTTTCTGCCTGATCAAAGCCGTGGTGCTGGGACCAGATCATTCTTGCAGTTGCCCTGTCAACAGTGTGTTGTGCAGCAGTGTACCACCAGTTTCAACTCACCACATCAATGGGGTAGATGTAGGAGAGCTCAGAGAGGAGCTGCCGACAGCGGAAGGTGAGCTGGGCGTTGGACTTGAGGAACTGCTCTCTGGGGAGACAATACGACACAGTGAGTAACCAGCAGCAGGAGGAGACATGCGCTGTAGCTACGAGAGGAGAACATTCAGAGGGGGGACTAAAGGAAGAGCAGAGATGAGAAGGTAGGTGACGCAGTTTTGTCGAAAGTGATAGGAGGAAGTGGAAATGAAACTGCTGATGGCTGCTCCACAGGGTCCCACTATGAACTTAATAGATTTATGATGGACAGATCAAAGACAATCTCTTGACTTGAATCCTTATTTTCTATAAGACACATAACACATAATCTGAGATCATAGATCTGGGGACGCAACGCTCTGGGGGGCCAAACGGCTCCGTGTCTACGCCCAATACGATCATTTTTCTGATAACGATGAAGCAATAGCCCCGCCTCTCCCCACGTCTCCTGCTCAGAGATCAGCTGCTGGGCTCTCAGAAGAGGGGGAGGAAAAGAGAGGCTCCATTTATTATTCTTATATTATTATATAGAGTCGTTATCAATTTGTTTTAAAGCTCAATAAATAACAAAGAAGACCTCTGACCGGCACTTTTCAAATTTTGTCCAGAAGATTTAAACTTTAACGGACATGTTGACCGGAAAGTCTGCCGCACGGTTCCCTCGTCCCTTGGAAGAGGCGGAGAGGTGGGGGTTTTTCATCTGCTGGTGGACTACCTGAGAGATTTACAGCAGGAGCAAACGCTTGCCTCAGGGAGGGAGAAAAAGAGCCAGAGCGTCCACCGCGGAGAATAAACAGAAGGGAAACCATGGCAACCATGCGCGGGAAGTCTTCTTCGCTGCTTTTGGTGTATTTTCTTGCAGAAGTACAGCGCCACTTACAGGCCTGGCATATGTACTACAGCGTCTCCAGCGCTTTCGAGCGGTCTCGTGTGAACGGACACGTTTCTGGTGCCTATTGCGTGTGGACGGAAGACTTTTTTGATATCGAATTCTGTTCGTTTGCTTTACCGTTCTCGTGTGGTTCCAGTCTAAGTGTCTTGCCCAAGGACACTTTGACAGGCTCAGAATTGAACCACTGACCCTCTGATTGGTCGGCGCCCATTAACCCCAGGAGCAGGAGCCACCCAGATGTAGTCCTTATAGGTCTTTGTATTGATGAAAGCGTAGTTACTTATTGGAGAGCCAGTTTAGTGCAACTTTACTGTAAAATACCGATTTACTAGTAATTTTATATCCATACTAGAACAGTCATTATTAGTCGTTCAGGTCAACTTGTAAAGTATCGTGCAGTGAGTACTGAGCTCTGTGTGTACTTGAAATTAAGTGGTTTGCACGCTGTGTTGTTTGACCACAACAGAACCCAAAGGTGTATTTACATGAAAATCATTATGATATACTATAATTACCAAATAATTTCAGACCTGTGTGGAGACAATAATAAATTGGCCTACCCTTGTTTCAAATGTAAAAGAATAACCTCAGAGCCAGGGTTTTCTAGAAATGAAATGACTAGCTGAGACCCTACAGTATGTGCTGAATAGGGTTTGTTGCTTGTTAACTGTTTTGTTCAAATAATCTAGTATTTGCGTTTTTGAAACTGTTCCCAAATTAAAACATATTTTACATCTCTGCAGCTAAAATAGTTACTTCCAGAACACAGATGGGCTGCTTTGGATGAATAGTGTGTGGGTGTCCTCTACAATACGTACACCACTACTTATGGGTAATAGCCCATCATTTCATGGAGACAAAAAGGGATTTTTGGGGGTAAATGGTTATTGAATGTGATGGCCCCCTGCCATCCATTCTCCTCGCCTTACACGCAAATATCCTTTTAGGCTTTGACTGTGGTTAGTAGGCTCTTATCATTTCTATTTCCCAGGGAACTCTCTGTAAAAGCAAAGACAGATGGGTGTGTAATGAATGTCTGATTTGACTTAACTCATCTGTCCAGATCTGAAATGCCTCATCTTAATGTGTCCCAAGGTGAAAACACCGTTACTAAAATAGGCAAATGAACAGTACATAAAGAAGGAGTTCAACATTTTGGTAAAAACAGAACATTTACTGTATACCTTCTGGCAGAGAGCCAGGTGAGAAGTTCCATACCACCCTTGTTTGGGTGCTTATAAAATATAAAAGTATTTCCCAAAATGTATACTTATACTTAAAAGTACTCATTCTGCAGCAGAAACGTTTTTGGAACACTGATGCATGAATGTATACGTAGCACTGCTTTACCTGAAAATGTAACAGTTAGTTTTGTCTGGTGGCTCCAATCTAGTGGTCAGAGCAATCAATGGCTTACAAGATAAATCTGGGGGTTGGGTGGAGGGGGGGTTATGAGGTCATTAATGGGGTTGGGAAGAAGAAAAACACATTGGTCAACGGTGTGCCAATGTGTGTGAGTGTCTCCAAGAGCAGGTGAGCCAGCCTATACTTCAGTGTGAATGTGTTTGAATGGGAGAATGATGACTTGTATATGTAAAAGCTCTTTGAGGGGGTTGAATTACAATTTACCATTACAGAGCCAAGATAGGTTGGTAACTACTGGTTTAACCCTTAACAAGGCTGTATTTCATAAGCTTATTATAGGTTAATGTCTTCATATACATCCGCAAAAGTCCTTAATACATGTTACGAAATAGAACTATTAAAGTAGTATTATTCTATACTTAAGCCCAGTGTCAAATTTCATTGTAAAAAAGTTTTACACTTTAAGCATGCTATGGGATCTAGAGATTCAAAGTAGAGTCCTTTCTTGTTTCCCAAAAGGACACTCAACAACTACAGCTTCAACAATTAAAGATGTTTAACAAACTGATAACTTTTAGCCCCAATTGTGTGAGATAAGCTGTTCAACTGCAGCCGTGAGATATTAAACAGGAATGTGGATAGGCTGAGAATGCTGGGCATGCTCAGCATAACTTTTCCCTCACTGAAAGTAAAAAAAACCTAACAACACTGATATTTCCAAGGAATGGATGCAAGGCAGATGTACAAATGTCGGTGTTAATTTCCTGTTTGCTAGGTATCTTGGCCCCTGCTCGCCTTCGTGGGGCTCTGGTTTAGCCTCTGTGACTGCCAGGTACTTCTCAGACAAACAAAGCTGTATCCAGGGTTGACAACCTCCGAACACGTCTTCCCGCAGGCCAAGGCAAACACAGGCCTATCGGCTTTTAAGCACAATGTGCAAACTCTCTGTTGAGAACACATAAATAGGCAGCGCCAGTCGCGAAAACATGGTGTTGTTTTGAAAGAGAACGGTGGGAGGCAGGGAGCAGGGTAAGGCCCCATCACAATTCAATAGGACTGTGCAACACTTTGGGTCTCATCATCTACTGGGTCTCATCATCTACTGGGCTCTGGTTAATGTCTGGAGATGATTGCGTTTAGAAAGTGTGTTTTCTTTGCAGACATAAAGCAATAGCTAATAACAGGTTCACACATACCTCTTGGCAGTGCATTCCTTCTGCAGCTTGGTTAACGATTCTCTCTCCTCCTTCAGACTTTCGTGTTGAGCGGAGAATGCTTCCTCTGATAGAGACGGGGGGGGGGGGGAAAGGGTAAATTATGAGGTGTGTATTATTTTCTGTTCTTCTGCATCTGAACAGCCAGGTGGGCTTTTGTTTGAGTGACTGCCATCCACTGTTAAACTCATGCAAGATCAAACAGCTCTTTTGATCAGGCCAAAACCTATTTCCTTCTCACACCACATAAAACCAAACAACATATGTATGCAAATTATAGGATTTGTCAGACTTGGTAAATATAGAGCTGGGCAAATAAATAAAATCCGACAGATAAGAAACGGTGATAATAGAGCGTGGGGAAGTTGTGTAACTGCAGTATTGGCAAGCTCACAATACCTCAGTGTAGCAGAAAACCGGAGAGAAGCAAAGTATAATTTAGGGTCGTCAGAATATTTCTCTAATCTGTCTTCATACAGCAACACAGGATGGAACACATACAGTAAGCAACCCACCAAAAGGTTATGGATTAACAGTTTAGATAAACAAGAGGTATGGCACATTAACATCCTTATTTATTTTTTGAAAAAACGAATAAATAGATGTGTCCAAAACACAACATGATTTCAATCTTAGCACTACTTTAATTTGTTCTGTTTTGCAGCAGTTATTACACACAGTCCCCATTGTAAGTAAAGGATATAATTCCTACATATTCTTCTTTGCTTTTTTGCCCACAAGCTCATTTAGTTTAGCCTTTCTGTGTTGAAAACTGTAAAAGGCAAAATCACATGGACAGTGATCATTATTAAAACCTGTGGATTCCTGAGTAAGAACTCAACCACTCAAATCACTGTGAGGCTGACCATGAGGTACCACAGCTAAAGGACTGTGGATGGGGAATATTATTATTATAATAATAATAATAATAATAATACATTTTATTTGGGAGGCGCCTTTCATAGCACCCAAGGACACCTTACAGGGCATAGGGGCAATATAGGGAACAATTAAAACTGTGGATTTAGTGAAATATCAGCTGGGGTAAAACAAGACAAACAACAGGAAATGGACTACAGAAGGACACAGGGTACAGTTTATAAAGAAAATGCCAGTTTGAACAGGTGGGTTTTGAGTTGGGTTTTGAATGTTGTTATGGAATCAGACTGTCGGATGTGTAGTGGCAGGGAGTTCCAGAGTCTGGGAGCCGAGCAGCTGAAAGCCATGGTTTTGAGGCGAGAGCTTGGGACGATCAGAAGTCCTACGGACGAAGAGCGGAGGGTGCGGGAAGGGGTGTACTCGTGAAGGAGGTCTGTGATGTAGATGGGGGTAAGGTTATGGAGAGCTTTATAAGAGAGTAGAAGGTTTTTGTAGTCAATACGGTAGCGTATAGGAAGCCAGTGTAGCTGAGTGAGAATGGGGGTGATGTGGTCGGATGAGTTGGTGCGGGTGATGATCCGGGCAGCAGAGTTCTGGATTATTTGCAGTCTATTGAGGAGTTTGATGGGAAGGCAAGTCAGAAGTGCATTGCAGTAATCAATCCGGGATGTGACGAATGAGTGGACCAGGATTTCAGTGCTGGGTTGGGACAGAGATGAGCGGAGTCTGGAGATGTTCCGAAGATGGAAGAAGGCAGTGTGGGTGATGTTTTTAATGTGTGGTGCGAATGAGAGGGAGCTGTCCAGAATGACACCGAGGCTTTTCACTTGGGCAGCGAATGGTATGGGGAAGCCGTCAATGATGATGTTTGGTGCTGGGGTGTTATGTGACTTGGTGAGGGTGGAGCCGATGAGCAGGGCCTCAGTTTTGCTACTGTTAAGCTTCAGGAAATTCCTGCTCATCCTGCTCCTGATGTCCTCAAGGCAGGTGGTGAGGGAGGTTGGGGGCAGGGCACTGGTGGGTTTGGAGGAAATGTAGACCTGTGTGTCGTCGGCGTAGCAGTGAAAATTAACCTCATGGTGACGGAGGATTGTGCCCAGGGGGAGGAGATATGTGATGAATAGGAGTGGACCCAGTACTGACCTCTGGGGGACACCCAGTGAAATAGCACTTTCTTGTGACTTGTGATTACTGAGTTGTACAAACTGTATAATAATATGGTGGCGTAGAAAGAACAGTGCCTTCATGCAAAGCCATCAAAGCTAAAAAACATATATTATTTAATATCAGACTGTAAATATAAACATTGGTTATCAGGATTTCCCTGTAATGGCTGGTCAATGAACAGGAAGTGCTTGGCCCTAGTTGTTAAGTTACTGCTCCTCCACAGAAAGGTGAACACAGAGGCTGCTTGGTTTAGTGATAGGGATACTTCTCGGGGGTCTCAGTTAACATGCACTAAGGACTGCATAGTATTCAGGCTTAACTGAGAGGGCTGAATGATCCACCAGGAAGAGCAGGAGGAAGTTGGTGAGGAAAGAAACATATTAAAATCTGTTTACAGGGTTAGGGAGGACTAAGGAATTTTCGAAAGAAACTGTTGCATACAGTATTTGTGGCTCCATAGGGAGTCTGATTTATTACCTCAAGTGATGTCAGCATCGGTTGGAGCTGAATGCTTCAACCAAGTCAGAAATGAAAACTGAAATAACTGCTCAAGGTTAAATTCTTCCGCCATCGCAGTTTACATCCATGTCAACACTTCATCAATTCAACCTATTGTAAATTTGACTGAATTTATATTGAATTAATCCATGGGGCAGCTTGTCCCAAATTCCCTAATTCATGTTCACCAAAATAAAATGTACAGATGTACATACAAAAAACTTGAAGAAATAATGCCTCCCACCTTGGCTGTCACCAGGATGGGAGGCATACAAATAAATATAAAATATATATATGTATATACATATATACGTATATATACATACATATATACATATATATATACATACATATATACATATATATATACATACATATATATATGTATATACATATATACGTATATATACATACATATATACATATATATATACATACATATATACATATACATATACATATACATACATATATATATACATATACATACATATATACATACATATATACATACATATATACATACACATATATATATACATACACATATATATATATATACATACACATATATATATATATATATATACATATATACATACATATATACATATACATACACATATATATATACATATATACATACATATATACACATATATATATATACATACACATATATACACATATATATATATACACATATATATATGTATATACATATACATATATATGTATATACACATATATATATGTATATACATATACATATATATGTATATACATATACATATATACATATACATATATATACACATATATACATATGTATATACATATGTATATACATATATACAAATATACATATATACATATATATACATATATATACATACATATATACATATACGCACACATTTTTATATACATTTGTTTTTATATTCGGGATTGTGGGAAACTCTCTGTCTGTACACACAAACTGGAAGATTGACAATAAAGTTGACTTTGATATTTTCTTAATAACTGTCCAATTGTGAGTCCAATAATGTTATAGAAGTGCAATGTGTAATTATGTTGGAAGCAAAAAAAAACAGGAATGAAAGGTAAGATTTTGTGTGAAACCACAAACAGTGGTCTACCATATCCAAACCCCTGCACTCATTGCTTGACGCTTGTGTGTAACCAGCAATTTAGAAGTATGCATAGGAGGTTCAAACCTTTCTTAGGAATCGATGAGGAACCAGACAGAACATTGCTTAATGATTCTTTTACATATGAAATAATTGCTGTTTCCAGTGTACTTCTTAATAACTTAACCTGATGTTTACTTGCATTCTTATACTGAAAGGCAAGAAAGTATTTCAAAATGTCCTAACATTGTCCAAAAACTTGATAGTATGACCGCATTTGTCAGAAAAGTGAGTTTAGAGCATTTAAGATGATCAAATCACATGTAATCAGATAGATCAGCTGCTTTTTATCACATACTTTCACTTACATGCTGCCTGAACTGACACTATACGGGTGTTAAAGAGATATCTTGATGGAGACGACGGGAGGAAGAAAATAAAAAGGTAGTCCATCAGATTAGAGACAGGGATCAGAAAGGCCATCCAAAACCCCGACTGCGTAGGCCTGTATTGCTCTCTTGCTTTCATGTAATGCCCAGCTCTGTTCTATCTGTTCTATCCATCTTCTCATCCTTTCATCCCGCTAACCTGTTCCAGTTGTTATCAGGGTATGGACAGACAAAGCGTGGCATAAACCACGTCAGCCAACATGCAATATTTGACACCCTATGTGTATATTAACCATGAGCGCTGGGTTGTGGCCTTACTGGTGAGTCTGATGATGAGAGAGAAATGGGGGAAGAGAGGGAAAAGGTGAGAGGTCAAAGTCCCCCAACAGTCTAAGGCTATAGCAGCAGAACTAGATACGGTAAATAGTACCAGCTACTTCTAACATTTTATATGGTCACTTATAATAAACACAAATATATAAGGCTACTTAGATTATTTTTCACAATGGCTTACTTATCTGTTGTTTATTTTTACTTAATGTGTTTTTAATTATTAATAACATGTGCTTAATTGTTTTAATATATTATGTAAGTCTATCCTCTTTACTTTATCTGCACTAGACTTCGAGTGGAGTGCACCAGCTGGGCGTAAAAAAGTAGGTCTTAACTCTAACGTCGGGCTTAGCTACGCCTGACTTAGTGATTCGAATTTACACCGAGTGCACCAAGCCTGACTAGTCTTGGTCGTAGCTGCGCCTGGTCTTAATATGCGCGTCCACGTGAATACACGCAAAACAGTAATTGTTGCCAAGCAACACACGTCTACATAATTTAACACTCAAACTCCTCCATTCAGAGCAAGACTTGTATAACGAAGTCATGGATAACGGAAACCAAAAGAAGAGAAAAATGACGCCCACACCCCGAAAAAGAAAGAGGGATTTTACAGAGCTACAGCGTGAACTGGTGGAGAAAGAGATCGTTCATGTGGAGGTGGAGACCGC